TTCAAATAAAGTCACAAAATTAATTAAAGAATTACAATATTCTCATAATATGCAAAAGTATGAGGAAATTTTCAAAATATTCTTAACAACGTGGCGTAAAATCAGTACCTGTAAATTTCCAATTCAGCTAATAAAATTACAATCAAGCATAGAGTTAAAGTGCATGTTAGAAGGGAATAAGCTTCATTTTTATCATAAATGTATCCTCGAAGATAAATTTCTAAAATTAAAACGACTGCAAATGTCCATTACAACAGCATTTGGGAAAATTTCATGGCAATCTGACGTTTAGTTCACAAGTAACATTTGCTTTTGTAATTTTCAAAACAATAGAAAAATATGAAAATATTGTGTGTTGATAAAACATTGCTTTTGATGGGAAAAATACCGTTCAAGCAAAGCAATGGCTTGAAAAGTGTTATGGGGACTCTTCTCCGTCGAGACAATTGGTAGAGAAGTGGTTTGCTGTTTTAAACGCACAAATTCGGCAATTGTTGCAGAAAACATAAAAAAAGTTACAAAATGGTTTTAGCCGATTGTAAATTGAAGTTGTGTGAGATAGCTGACACCCTGAAGATGTCAGAAGGCAGTGCATTCACCATTTTGCATTAACAATTGATCATGAGAAAACTGTTCGAAATGGGTACCTCGTTTGCTCAATGTGAACCAAAACAACAACGAGTTGATGATTCCGAACGATGTTTGGAGCTGTTTAAGCGAAATAAAAAGGATTTTTTTCATGCGATATGCAATAATGGAAGAAACCTATACAGCTATACACCAATATACCTTAGAGAGGACAGCAAAGAGTGAAATCTGTATTTAGAGGCCAAAGATAAATCGTTCTACAAAAAAGTTATCAAAATGTTAAAGAAGCGTTAGAATGAAGGAGACTCTTGAAGGAGACTATGTTGATGAATAAAGTCAAAATGTAGTAAAAACGAAGTGCAGCAGCAGGTTGCTCGATGAAAACAGGACCAATCAACTAAGATGTGTCACTTAATATGCAAAAGATATGAAACAGTATACAAAAACAAGTGTCACCTTGACTATAAAGAAATAAAATATTTTGAATATGTTCTTTGTTTTATTTTTTTACATATATTTTAGGGGCGACTAATAGCCGAATGGTTAAGTCGAATTCTGGTCAAAGCCAGGCCCTTTGTGAGCCCTCTCGGTGCTTGCAGCAAAAGAACCATCGTTCATTAGAGATTGACAGTGAAATGAATGAGGTTCAACATATGGACCTTCAGCAAAATCGATGGACAATGACAGTGTTAAAAACGTTCCAAAACTTCCGGATGTAGCAGGCGCGCGGGACTCTTCTCATCGTCACTCGTTATGCCAAACGTCGCTCGTTAAGCGAGTAATTTTTCCTACAATTCATTTGTTATGTATTCATTATGTATTCCAATTAAAAATATAAAATTTGTTGGAATTATAATATCGTTTCATTGACAATAAAATAACAGCAATATGCAAGAATTATAGATTAATTTTATTTGACATAAATTCAATTAATGATTCATTTTAATATACCACGGTAATACGATGATTCGATAAAGAATTCTAATTAGAATGATTAGTTCCAAGCTATAACTTTCAGTGTCAAGTTTGAATGTTATATGAGCTTCCTCTATCATTAACAATAATTATTTATTTACGTGCCACTTAAATTATGATGCAATTATAAAGTATCATCATTAAAAAAAGTGAAGAATTACATTTGATTTGTTCGAACAAAAAAAATCAAGCGGAAAGATATATGTACTTTTAAACAGTATTTTTTTAAAATTTATTATTTTTTGTATTATGTATTAATGTATTTTAACGTAAATAAAACAATAATACAAATTAATACAAATAAGTCTCAATTACTAAGAAAAACGTAAAGAAAGTGAAGATAAATAGAAAAATATAAGTTGAATGAAAACTAAAAGTTAACAAAATAAAAATATAATTAATTGTTCTTATTTAATTAGCGTATAAAATCGCTTGATTGATTGTAATAAGAAATTTAATAAAAGTACCATTATGTAAATATAAAATTTCTATAAAAAAATGAATGTATACAGCATTTAATTAATGAATACAAAAAAAGATTAGTTGCAATAATACATGTATAATTGCATAGTCGTGGTTTAAGGAAGAAAAATTTCATGATGGATGGAAAGTAATAATTATCACCGTTTATTAACAAAAGATTAAATGTTTTTGTTGCACTTAATTGAATTACCTTGTAATAGTTCTTGTCAATCAACATGAAATAAAAAGTGGAGAATTTGAACTTACAATTAAAACTTTCCATCAGTGAATAAGTATATAATTACAAATAACTAATACTTAATCATGCTGAAATAATGGTCAGAATGACGCTACAAGTTATATTTTTCATTTTCATTTTTGCGGGTTTGAAACCTTTTTTATTTTATCCGAACTTGACTGATGAGCAACAATTACGATACGTTTGTAATCTATGAGGATAGTCCCAGAAATACCCGACCTCACATATATATGGTTGCTGTTTGATAAAAACGAATATTGCAGTGGTTGACCAAATGAGGTGACCACGCCAGAAATGGTGAAGAAAATCCATAAAATAGTATTGGATGACCGTCGACTGAAGTGCGCGAGTTGGTAGGCATTTCAAAAAGTGCTGTACATTAAAAAAACGATTTTCTAATTTCAACTTTTCTGCAAAACCGGTTTTTGAATGAACATAGGACATAGGATTTTTAACTATCACAAAATAACGACTAACAATTATTTTATAATCATTTAAAATAATATTTAATTTGTTTTGTTCCTAAGAAAATATGATTTTAAAAAGGAAATAATGTTCAAACATGTTCTTGTTTTGGATACAAAATTTGTAGAAATACTCACTAACTTTGCACGCAGCATCAGGTTTTTAGTTATTGACAGAATTTTTCCTACAGTAGAATTAAATGCTTTTTTTTAGGCGAAGAGTAGTTGAAGAGGGAATTTGTATTGTGTGTTATTTTATTGATTTTAGCAACACGTTTCATCGAATACATTTGTATCCCATTCATACGGTGAAGTCTGTAATTTCTGAAATATTAGCTTATATATAAAGAGATGTTTAATAGGTGTGTATATTACATACTTGTATTCTACAACATATATTTTATTAGATTTCTTTCTTCTTTTGCATCAGCAAAAAAAATAATATTAGTCAAAAAGTAATATTAGTACGGACAAGTACAATTTTTGAACCCCGCAAAAGTCAAAATATTTTTTTTTAATCAAGTAATTAAAATTTCAAAATTAATTTAAAAAAACTGGGCATATTGACTGAAAATTTGGACATGAGAAAGCAGTGCGCAAAATAGATGCCAGATCGCCAGATTTATATTTATTGAAGCTATTAAATATCGATGGGAAAAGTGTATCATGTTAAAAGGAGACTATCTATGTTGACGGATAAAGATATATTTTTTTCCAATTTTTTGTGTTTTCTTTTTAGATTGGGTACTTCTGGTACTACCCTCGCACCTCATTCAAAACTCACTCTCGGAACTTAATTAGCAATATTCTTAATTTGTTTTATAGTACATATGAGTGTTTTTATTTAGAATTCAACTAAATATAAGTGTACATCTCATATATTATTAACTAAGAGTTACATTTTCGTCTTAATACTCTTAAGACTAACTTTGAATTAACATAATGGGAGTATAATATATGGTAAGGGAAGATAGTGTTTTTCCGAAGAATGTATTTAGATGACTGTACTTAACTGTCCTCAAACATTAACATGTTTAGGGAGATGTACATATTTGTAGTCACAGGGCCGGATCCAATAAGTGCATTTGCTTTTCGGGGTTAATCAACAGTTATAATTAACATATTTAAGGAATTACATTTGTCGGTTGTAGAAATATATGTTTTTTAAAGTGCCTGTTCATAGTATTATGATTGCAATCAAATGTGTGCATCCTTAAGCCTATTTTTCATAATTCATAAGCAAGCTGTGTCTTCATCTATTGTATCAATTTTTTAATTTTAAAATAATAAGTATTGATAATTTTTGAACAGGTCAAAATGACTGGTGTTGGTAAATAAACCAGGTTATAATTTTTTCTCAGAAAATATAAAGTATATTAATACGAAAATAATATGCATATTGTAGGGAAAATATGAAAGGTATTGATATCTTTAAGAAATTGTACACCAATGTGCGAAAAAAGGTCAAAATGACTAATCTGTACTTTTAGTGTTAATTTAATTATAAATTGCACATTTTAATGTATTTGTCTTACAAAGAAGTAAATGAAAGAAGATTGCGATCAAATAATTAGAATATAATAAAATATAATCAATTACGTTACAAAAAATTAATGAATGAAGTAATGTAATTGGATTGATTAATTCAAATAGAAATTGCATTTTTTTATTCTTCGATGAGGTGAGAGTCAATACATAAAAGATGCATCTAAAAATAATTAAAAAAAGAAGAAGATTTGGTGAAAGTTCAACAAATTTCTCTCAGTTGTGATCTGACACGACAAAACGAAAGTGAACAAATACGCATTGGAAGATCCTGTTTTCTCAAGATGACTCAGATACTAAAGAACTACAAGAATATTGTTTGTTTTGACTAAGACCATACCAAAGTATTACGTAAGATTGCTTCAGTATCAGTGCTTTATCGTGGTTAATCAAATTACCGTTGGTTTATTGATATCAGCGGTGTTTTATTGATCCATTGATATCAGCATATAAAATTCGTGCAAATACAATTACTTCCTATTGTGAAGATTCGAGTAACCAACGAGTCGAATGCATTAATAAGTGATGGAATGAGTGTTCAAAAAATTGCAACCAAAGTGACAATTAAAAATAGAAAGAGATAACAAAAAAAAACACTAAAGCAATTACATATGTGATTTTTTAGAGAAAAAAATTAACGTCAAAATGACGGAGGATTGGTTATAAAAGGATTTTCGTTTTCCCCTCCGACAAGCAGAAAAGCACCGGCCATTTGTTGAAACGGCAGCACGAGCGGCACCAGTTGACCATCGCGCTGTAAAAAATTACTATCAATCTCTTTCGTAATATCGGATTGTTTAGAAAGTGAAGGCAGCTTACGCACAAGCACATAAAATCGTACTGCTCCCGTTTTTCCCTTCTGGCCTTTTTTATTCCGTTCATCTGACGGTTTTCTGCATCGGAAAATTCTACGTTCTTTCGAAGGAAGTGATTGTGATTTACGTGAGTAGTTTTTCCTTTTTGAACACACATGAGAAAAGCTTCATTTGGCCTAGTGTTTGTAATACTTCAAAAGTGATTACAATGACGTTAGTATTATTTTTGACATTTTCAATGTGCTCAATATTGCAGCAATGATATATATTATTAATGCATATTTCGATGATTTGGAAACCAAAACACACTGACAAAAACAATTAGTAAAACTCCATGAAAATACAACAAAATAATCAATCCATTTTATTATTGACATTTTTTTTTCAATGAAAAACTTTCATATTAAAATATTCAATTCAGAATCGAATCAAAAAATTTCAAATATTTGTAATCACATTATATAATTATATATTATATATATTATATAATGCAAGGTTTGTATTATTATTTTATCGAAGAAAAACTCACATGTAAATAATGAAAAGAATAAAGTGAACAAGTGTTATACAATATTCATATACATGACTTGATATTAAATTAGAATAAACAATATATGTATTAATTGTTTTAACATAATAATAATAATTTATTGGCCAGACATCAATAAAAAAAAGAATACATTCTATAAATAAATGATAATAATAACAATTCTCAAAACAAACAAAAATAAATTCTAACATAAATCAAAAAATATATTTTAATAGGCTGACCAAAGGTCTTTCTGCCCATTTTTTTTTATCATATTTCTATATTTGAGTAAATATTTTAACAAAAAAAATACTAATTAATTATATAAGTTTTCACATTTATATATTTCATAAAAATTCTAATAGTAAATTTTCGAATTAATCAAGAACAAACTGAAAAATTTAAATAAATAAAATATTTAATTTAAATTATGCTTATTGAATTTAATGGAATAATCATAATAATTTGACTATATTGGCCATTATAATAAAATTTAATTATTATAATATAATACTATTGTTTACAGATGGAAATTAATATTATTGTCAAATACAATTTTTATGATCATTTTTTTAAGAAAGGCCATTAACAATTTTATAGCATTAATAACATTTGAGTAAATATTATATATGCAATTTAAGCAATCTTATTGACTAACTGTATATTTACCAAGAGTAATATATAAACTTCAGATATTTTAATCTATCAGGGAAAATTAGGAAACATTCTCACAGCACATTAGATTGCATACTGAATTAGTAATATTATTAACGGTACGTTTAATATTGATTTAATTATATGTTGAAATATACGTGTCCATATGGTATGTAATGTTATAGAGGAAATAGATAAAATAGTTTTTTTTGCATTAGTATCACAATAAAAATTAATTACAGTTTTTGAATAAATACAAATTTAAAATGCTTATTTGTTTAAATAAACTTATTGAGTATTTATTTCTGAGAAAAACTATGCATAAATAATTGCGATTGTTTGCAATATTTTTTTTCATCGCACTTCCTTTCACATATGGAATAAGGTTATTTTTTCGTAATATTATTTTTGTTCGATAAATGTATAAAAAAAAATTATTAATTATATTAACTTACTCACTCGTTATTTTTGTAAAGAAACAAAGGAAAAATCATTTAAATATTATTAAGTAAAGCGTTTTGATACTACAAAAGTAATGTAAATATATAATCAAAAGTGGCAGAAAGACTAGATGAAAGGACTTACACATTTTTTAATTATTATTACAAATTAGGAATTTATAAAAAAGTTATTTATAAAAATTATTATTTTTTTGTCTTTTCTTTCAAATAAATTGGAAATATTTTTAGCCAACAATGTTTATCTTGCATACATTATTGTACCCTTTTAATTCCTGACAGATTAGATGATATAAATGCATATTTCCATCGACAATTAAATCCTACAAATCTAGTTAATAAACTAATGCGGAGCAATTTGTCTGTTTTTCTCACCTTCAGTCGAACTTATAACATTGCATTCAGATTCTTTTAATAGTCTACATCTGCAAACAATGCATATGCAATCATTGCAGGTACAAATAACTTGAATGATCTGCGATTTATTTCAGTATCGTGATAATACGGATGCGGATGCGGATGATAGTTTTGCACTGGTGACTTAATAGTTAGTAATAAAAGTAAGCAGGGAATATTTTAATAAATGTGAAAAATAATATTAATTGAAAGTTTAAGTAAGTTTAGTAACGTTTATTCTTAATATTTGAATTATTGATGATTTCTGTGTTAATCAATTTAAGAGAAGTAGTATAATGTAAGTCTTACAATATTCACGCTGAAGGACTTCGTGGTCGATGGGAAATCTGCTGGGGAAATCCAGATGTTATATATCTATATTTTATTTAGTTTATATATTGAGTGATATATTGATTTATTTTGATTATGTTTCAGTAAAATTATGGGGATAACGACAGCCACCAAACCAATGGAACTTCTCGACGCGAATGGCAACGAAATGATAAACAGGAATCATGTACTGCATGATTCACTGATCGCTGTTCCGGAAATCTCGAATAACATTGGAGAATTCTACAGAGATGCGAAGATCTTCATGACCGGAGGAACGGGATTCGTGGGAAAGGTCCTTCTGGAGAAGCTTCTACGCTCCTGCGACCTCATCGACAGCATCTACCTCCTGGTGCGTTCGAAACGCGGGATGGCCATCGACCAAAGGTTAAAAGAACTCTTCAAAAGTCCGGTAAGAAAGATCCTGAATATACTTTATCTAAGGCGTAGAATTGAACGTTAAACTGCTTGCAGCTCTTCAATAAAATTAAAGACAAGGACGAGAACTTGCTGAATAAAGTTAAAGTAGTCGAAGGCGATGTTTCCCTTCCGAATTTGGGGCTTTCTCAAGCCGATATAACGGATTTGGAGATGAATGTTAATATAGTTTTTCATTCCGCTGCTACCGTTAGGTATGTATACGGCATTTAATGTTGATATTTGGATTTAATTGTGGTTAATTGTTTAGATTCAATGAAAATTTGCGTGATGCCGTCGTTTTGAACACCATGGGAACGCAACGCGTTATGGAACTTTGCACTCGCATGACGAACTTGAAGGTATAGCTTAGTTAGTGTAATTATTGGAAATACTTTAATTGTCTTTTGCAGAGTGTCGTTCATGTCTCGACGGCTTACAGCAACGCAGATAAAAAGGAGATCGATGAAATCGTTTATAAGCCACCGTTTGATCCGTACTCGATCATCAATTGCGTGGAGAATCTTCCGCAGGAGGCTTTAGATCTTCTTGCGGAAAAGCTATTGGTAAGTTGATAAAATTGATCATCGATGAAAGTGAATCTTACGTTACGATGTTCGCAGAATAAACATCCCAATACGTACACATTTACTAAAGCCATGGCCGAGTATTTAGTGATGGATTACTCAGCTCAGCTTCCCGTCTGCATCGTGAGACCTTCTATAGTGACCGGTGCTTGGAGGGAACCGATCCCTGGATGGGTGGATAATGTTTCAGGCGTTACGGGGATCATGATGGAAATCGGTCGTGGATCCATCAAATCCATAATTGCTAACGAATCATTAACCATGGACTTGATCCCCGTCGATATAGTCGCTAATTCTTTGCTCACAGCCGCTTGGCACACTGTTGCAAATAGGTAATTCTTGATGCTAACTATATGCTTACTAACTCATTCATCTATTGTTTTCTTTTTGGTAGATCTAATGTTATGCGCGTCTACAACTGTACCAGCGGCAACATTAACAGTATACTATGGAAGGACTTTGGTACCCTGACGACGAAGTTTGCTCTCGAATACCCAACGAAATATTTAAGTTGGTATCCAGGCTTCTCGTATCGCACCAATCGCGTCATGCATTGGATTTGTGCAGCCCTTTTCCAAACCATCCCAGCTTGTATATTCGACATAATCTTATATTGCACCAAACACAAACCAATGTAAGTATCCAAATATCAACCACCAATTCTTATTGGTGGATGCGCCGGTTAATCTAACTTAACTAAATAGTAACTTCTTCAACTATTATCAATCTTAAAACATTTTTTAACCGACTTTTTACAGAATGTATACAATCAGTAAGAAATTCGAGAGGGCCTGCAAAGCTGGCGAGTTTTGCTCCTTGAATGAATGGGACTTCAAAGTTGAGAACCTAAGGCAATTACACTCCGATGTGAATAGAGCCGAAGACGGAGAAAATTTCAACGTGGACATGAGCAAGGAGAACGGTTTCACATGGGAGAAGTACACGCACGATTTCATGCTCGGAATCAGGCAGTACGTCCTCAAAGATGACCTTTCCAGTTTACCACATGCAAAAACGAAATTAAATAGGTACTGTTTAATATTTCAAAATGTATTATTTCATGAGAACTATCAACCAAAGTCTTTCTACCATATTGATTTTACGATTTATGTATATAGTTTACACTTTTTGACATTTTCGTTATTTCAGGTTCTATTGGGCAAATCGTGCAATTCAACTCATATCGATGTATGCGCTGCTGAAGTTATCCATACTCTGAATACTAAAGTCTAGCCAAAATGTGCGTGGGTCTTAGCGAAAACATATCATGTACGCATTTTATACTTTTTTTATTTTATTTATAAGTTTAAATATATTTATACCTTATAGTATGTATTATAGTAATTTTATGTTATTTTTTATATATATCATTTATACTTATTTTCTTTACATTATTTTTTTAGTCATCTACGACTTAGAGTATTAATAAATTAGTGTGTTTTGTTTTAAATATTGTTTTACTATGCTTCCTACCGTAACTATTCACATTTTAATAAATTTAAACGTTTATTAAATTTTATATGAAATTCTACATAATAATTACAAATCGGGGGTCTGGAGATGAACGTTAATACACAATCATCTATATATAAAATGATCTGTTGCCCACTCATCGATTATGCCTCAATAACTTTGCCGTGACGGAGTGAGTGGCCCTCCGAACAATCACCATCAAACTACTGTATGAACCAGTGTTGGATTTCAGCCGATTGGACCGAGTGCGCGAAATCGGGTCCCGCAGCACATCAAAATGTATATATTTAAAAATATCAACAGCACAGGGTTTATAAATATGGAAAAGGAAGAACTAAAAAACATGCAGCAGGTTTAATTTTTTTTTAAAGATTCTAAGGTTAATGATACATCTATTGATATTGTGAAGGAAGCAGATTTACATGGTTAGTCGAAGAAATGGTAGCTCTAAAATCTATTCTTTCAATATTTCCAAGAACCATTTAAAATGTCTGAATTTTTATCTGAAAAGGACAGAGCTACAGCATTTCCAAACTTATTTATTGCCCTTCGAATATATTTAATAATTCCAGATAGCGTTGCTTCTGGAGAGAGGTCATTTTCTAGATTAAAACTTATAAAAAAAACTATTTATGATCGACAATGACTCAGGATAGATTAAACAGTTTAGCAATGATGTTGATTGAGAGTCAAGAAGTAATCCAGTTGGATTTTGGTACTGTTTTAGAACATTTTTCAGAACAAAAACTTCGAAACATGTAAAACATCTCTTTATAGGTTTAAATTCAATACATTTTATTTATATACATTGTTTTTATATTTGTTTTTTTAATGTAGAAAATTGTCTACCTTATGGTTCATGACTTTTAATTTTTATAACTGCATTTTGTTTTAAATAAATATTTCAAATATGTAAAAGCTAATTTGATGGGCTGCGTAAAAAAATCAATCGGGCCTCGCACTTAATGGATCCGGCCCTGGTATGAACACACTAATATAACACCCATTTTGAACGCAATGACATATTGTTTAGAAAGTTTTCATCCGGACTTTCCAGTCTCGATACAGTTTACCGGTGTTGCATTTTAAGAGTCGGAGATCGGTCTAGAACCGGATTTCCTGCTAGACTCTTTACGAGCACATATTGTCAACTTTAGAAGTACTGCAATAAATTTGATACTTCTTATGATATTTGTGTACATTAATTTAGTTTAGTTACAAAAGTTTTAAACCTAAGTGTTATCTACCGAAGTCTTTCCACAAAGTATAATAATATACGGAGTGTAAGGTTTTTGAAGAGAGATCTATGCTCGCTAAAAAAATAACAAATATTACAAAAAAAAAAATAACTTTATTTCTGAAAAATATTAAGGATTGAAGAAATAATATTTCTTTCTAAAATCATTCAATAAAACTACCATCAGCATCAATAACTACCTCTATACGAGATCTAAATCGTCTACAAGAATGAATTAAGAGATTAAAATTCATAGCAGACATTACTCTGACTATAGCAGCTTTTAAGGAATATTTAGTGTTATGGGGGTATTCATTTACCTCTCCCCAAAAATTCTAAATACGTAAAAATGGTAGATTGATGCCCGGAGAGTTTTTAAGTGACCGCATTGATTTTCTGGGATCATGATCAAAAGTTTGTCATTCTCAAAGTTGAGGTCGCGAAAAATATTTGGGGCTCGCAAAAAAATTGATGACAGATCAATCCAGGATGTTTTTCTGCACATAACCAATCTTCGGGCAGTCTTCATATTTTTAAGTGCAAAAAGAGCACTTATCAGAGCGTTTGGAATGTTTTTTTTTATGCTTGAACACTTCTTATATGTTGCCATATTTGTTCAGCAACTTCTTACGAACTTTAGCTACATTCAGAAATCGCGATATTTCCAAATCTCCATAATCATCTTTTAAAGCAGTGCTCCGCAACCTATTCTCACCCACGGCACACCAACATTGTTCATAGAATTCCGCGGCACACCAAAAGTTAAAATATATAGATATTAAATTGATACACAAATTTCACAATAAATTTTCATTCATATTTTATAAGTATACATACATAAAAAACATAAAATAATTAATAATTAATGTGATACTTGCGCATGTTTCAATGAACACAAAACTTTTATATTTGGCTCAATATTTGACAGCGCAAACCCGAAGTTCTTGGTCGAGACCTTTTAAGCATGATCGCTTATTACTTGAAAAACTTTACTCACATGAGACGCAAATGTAAGTAGTTGTTAACGGTTATCCAAAAAATTTCGTAGATTTTATTGCATGGACTGCAAAAGAATTTCGAATCCATTAATTGCTGGTATATTTCTAAGCATCCTTTTTATAACCCTTCCTGCCAATGATCTAGATTTTTTTTGAACCCTTGTAATTTGTCGGAGCACATCAATATATTCTCATTCCTACCTTGCCTTTTTTATTAAGTTTATTTGTATGCTCGAATATATCAGCCATGTATGAAAGTTTGGCTATCCAGTAATCATCATCGAGGTACTGGTATAGTTCGGGCACATTTTGATTTCACCTCGTAGCGTCGCTCAAACAATCTAGCGAAAACTTTCGAGGCAGCCAACGAACTTCAGTATAAAGTATATAATAGGGTATAATAAGGATTCATATTCAGCTCCCATTTCTGCACATATACCAAATATTCGTGAATTTAGGGCTCTCGATTTAATTATGTTCATAATTTGAATGCATTCATTCATCGTGTTAAAAAGTTCCTCTAGCAAATTATTGACCATTTGACCATCAATGATTCTCGACGTATGCAACAGTGTGTAAATTGTATTATCGAATTTATTTGGACTGTTGAAAAATCATTTAATTAGAATATTGTCGTATTTGACCGCGGCACACCTGTATCGGCAGACCGGTTGCGGAGAACTGTTTTAAAGCAACAATTGCAGCATGTCTTTTCATTTAGTCATCTTGGATTCTGTCATTACTTTTAAATTACTAACTTGAAAAGAAAAATTTAGAATGAAACACCCTGCATAATAGAAATTAATTCGGGCAAAAAGATCTATGGTCAATAGCCCTTTACAGCAGTTTATTTTTATTTTGTTATTGAATTAAGTTTATATTTTGGTAATTTATTGTTGCAATTATTATTATTACTTTATAAACTAATTAAAATTTCAAAATAATTAATTAATTTAGTGTACAATTCGAAATAAAACTAGTAAATTTGACTTGTAAGGTTTTCCAAATTTTCCACTGAAAAACAATAAACTTCTGCATATATTTTTAACATCGACATTCTCGAAACCTACTGATTGATCCATTAATTAATTAATTTCTTGGATTCTACTTTCTTCTAATAGTAAAACTTCTGGACACATTATGCTTGAAATTGCGAACTTCGTTATAAGAGGTAATGTTAACCGAGGAATTACTCGACTGTACGATTATGATACTTCGTTTTAAAATATTATTTTACTTATTTTATTATAGAATTTTAGTGTAAATTTATGATATAAACCATATCATAATATAATATATGAAAAATTAACAAATTTAATTTTAAATTCAGGAATTATTACTATAGCTTAAATAGATTTCATCATAAATTATCACATTTTAATTGAAATTGAAACATTAATGAAAAATTTTGTATAAAAAAATGTACAATTATCATTCCGGTAAGAACAAAAATAGTTTTTGATAAATTTATCATGAGAATTTCACGAAAATATACTTAACTTTTTCTGTTATTTTATTATGTTTTGTTTCAAATCATATAAAAACTGTATTATTTTAAATTAGCAATTTCGTTAACCTCGATATGGGAAGTTTCCAGTCGATAATAACTGTTGTGGTTATACACTTCCTGGAATAAATCAGGCAATCCTATTTGTTCTTGAAAACTACCAACAAACATAACATTCTAATTATTTTATAATTCCACAATATTTTTCTCCAAGTTTTATAAAAATCGATATCGAATGTAAAATAAAAATGAAGAATATCTGTTTTATGTCCAACTGTTCACGATCGATGATTGTGATCCATATAAAAAACACAATTTAAAAAATCATAATGATCTATACAAAAAAAAAAGTTTATTAATAACAAAATACATTTATAGTCTGGTTTCATAATTTACGTTTTAAAAAAGAAACAAAACAATATATAATTAAAATCGTAGATAAACTAACACTTAATTATCCATGAGTTATCTGAACCCTCCAATGACCACCGCAACTGAAATAATAAAGAAATCATAATATTTATGGTACTTCAACTTTAAAAAAATAACACATACAGGCAAGACTTTGACCATCTTTGATCCCACGCACGGATGGCAGCAGTTCTGGTTACCGGTACTATACCAGCAGATGAACCGCATCTAACACATTGCTTAATACATCTTGGACTCCTACCGAGAAATACATGTCTAATGCTATCAACAGTTTGGCCATAGAAAGAATCATTAGAACTTATCAAACATTCAGGTTCTACGTTAAATTCAAGCTGAAATTACAACGATTAATTTATTAATCAACTGAATAAATTAAATCTAAAAAAAATAATTACCGAAAGTGGAAGAAGTTGCTGGAACATTTGATGAGAAGCCAAAACGACGCGATTATTTTGTAACTGTAGTTGTTGCACTTGTACTTGACTCGGAAGCAAGCAACATTCGTCTAAATAAGAAAATAAAAAAGAAAATACACTATAAACAAATTACATTAAACTACACTAATTTAAATCTATTAAACGGAACTATTATTCTTTAAGCCCAGTTTCCAAATCGACGACTACGTTTATTTCGTGGAGAGGAGGATCGTTTTCGACTACTAAGAAAGCTTCCGTTTTGCAAGTCGACGCTTCGTTTACATTCATAATGAAGTATTCCGTTTCCTCTTTAACCGGTTTAAAGTTACCAAAATAATTCGATTTCTCCGTTTGGATAAAATCTTGGGTATCTTTGAACAAGCTCAAATTGGCGGAATTAATCATATCTTGAAAGAATTCTTCGCGAGTCGTTGGAGACATCGTTGCTGGTCTGTCGACGCTGATTATTTTAACCATTTCGATGTTTTGAGGTGCTTTTCTTCGCTTCGTGCTACATCTCAGAAATATTTTGTCGTCAGAGGGTTGCTCTGCTTCCAACACTTCCTTAGCGCTGAATCCATCTTTCTCGATTTCCTCTTGCTCTTCGTTCCTTTCATGAACATCGTCCTCAATTTGTTCCTCGGATTTACCAGCGAAATCTGATGCCGAGCATTCGCTATCTTCCAGTTTGTTCAATTTACTCTCCTGTACTAAGGTATTGTACTCCATCTTCCGTTCCATTATCCTCTCGCTTATTCTGGTGCTGGATCTGCATCGCCATATTAACAATAAAATCATCAGCAAAACGATGAAAATTGCCAAAGCGGTAAAACAGAATTTCCAATTTAATGGTTTTCCTTTGTACAGTAATAGATATACGGGCGGAAACAGAAACCAATAAACAATGAACAGAATCACGACACTAACAGGTAGAGTTATACACCTAAAGGGATGCGACCTAATCTTGTTCGGTTCATAATGTTTTGCAGTTATTTCAACCATTTTTGCCGCGTGTCGAAGCAACTTCAAAACACCAACTGAATTATTTATTTCTGAACAAAATTCTAACTTCCTGCTGATAAAAGTATTAAACCACAAAACTCACCGATAAGCGAGTCCTCGGGTTCCGAAACGTTCTGCACCAATTTGCTCAACAATCTAAAGATCAAAGCTAATACATCCAAATTGAAGTCCGATTTGTTGAAAACAGGAAGACAGGCAGGTCTAAGTAAGCCCCATATCCTTATCAGAACTAACATCTCACGAAGCGTGTTGATTGCTTTTATATCTCTCAAAAGTTCGTAAGATTTGGCCACTGATGGTCTGCTATCTGGCAGTTTCACCAACAGATTCAAAGCTAAATCGGAAACCCATTGGATCAACTGTTGAAGACTCTGCAACGTCGACGGTTCCACCGTAAATTCTTTGGCTTCCAAATGCATTAAAACTTTATCAACGTCATTTTGACCTTCAGCCGTTACTACACCTACATAAAAAAATATTATTAACCAAATAAAATTAAATACTAAAATTCTTGGCATGCATTAATTATTAATAGTTAACATAATAGTTCTAATTTAAGAAGCTTGAAAGACGCCAATTAGTAATAGTAATTTCAATGATTCATTGGGAATAAACATAATTGTATTTAAAAATACACTCACTAGATAATGAATCTCCTGGGCTGCACTGTTCACTGGGCCTTAATAAACTTTTGAATGACGTGGCTATGCTGTGAAGCATTAGGTACTGAATCAAATCGTTAGCCTTGCTTTGTCCTTGTAAACTCAATCTACAAACACCATTTGTTGTATATATAATAAACAAGAAACAACAATTAATGGAATTACCTGTAAAGTGATGCTTTTATACACATATATTTGATATAATAATATTGTTGGATTGAAGATGGTTGTCTATTGAAGCTTTCTGTAAAACGATCGCACAAAGGATCCAACATACCGGATCTCAGAACCAGCAATAAATCAAGCCAATCCAATCCAGTCATCAAGCAATACTCTAACATTGTTGTCGCGTAAGGAACGCTCAGAGGAGTCGAGCTCTCTATTTGCGGTGGCAATTTAAAGACATGGATGTAACTATCTGCATCAATAACGATTAACACGTTTCCCAACCAAGACATATCGATGGTGTGGATTCTGTGCGAAGATCTGGAATATTTAGAAAAATGTTCTTCGCTAGGTAAATTGCCCAACGTTATATTGCAAATCGACTTCAACGTGTCTCTGTACAAGCAATGAATAGAATTATCCGCAAACGCAACCACAATATAACTACTCGAAAGTGTATTAAGGAAAGTCATTTTACTTGTAGCCAACGACATAACTTTGTGACCGTACTGAAAACTGCATTGAAACTGCCACAGCTGCAAAAAAAAGTCAATACACCTGTTATATCAGATATGAACATAACTGACCACAGTATTAAAGAATTTAGGCTCTCCAGTATCTGCCAGTACTTCGTGAACCGGAAGCGCCTTCTCTCTTAATTCCCAAACTTGTAAACAGCTTCCAGAATCGTTTCCAACAGCGACTACCAATGAATCAGCGTCCTCTTTCATCACCCAATTCAAATTTAACAAATCCGCGTATCTTCTATCTTTCAAAAACACTTCCACTAAAAATTATAAAACATTAATTATCATAATTTATCTTAAATTTTATACGTACTTATAACTTCTTTACTTCCTTCTGAGAGAAAGAAACTTGGCAATGTTTCACTTGTTATTACACATTTATCTTCGCTTTTGCGAACAGACACTTTATAACATTGGATCGGCATACTAATATCGCCACTGCTAACGGCCAGCAAAAAGTGACCATCTAAAAATGTTGTATTTTGTTATTAAATCAAGCAATCACCAAAGAACAAGATACTTACTTTTCCCATAGCAAATATCAGCAGTTTTTATGTAGATCCTTGTTGGTCCTAAACTTTCTGTTGCTACTATCATAGGTGCCTGTGATGTGTAATGTGGTATTATGATAGCAGCTAGTAATCCAGTCGAGGTAAGCAGCAGAGCACCAGTTGCAGGCCTACTTCCGAATTGTTTAACAGAACATGCAAATTTAACATTTTGAAATTTCTCATTGTAGAACAAACTATCTTTTTTCTCTGGGTTTAAGCAAGTCTAAAATAAATAATTGTTATTACACATTTAATAGTAAATATCAATCATTTTATTTACCTTTTTACCAGAATGGAAGAAAGCAGCTGAGAGAATATGCTCACCATGCAATGAAGTCTGCCATTTGAGATTCCATTCATTTAATACATGTTCCTTCATTTGATAAATTTGAATAGAGCCAGATTCATCTGCCATAAGCAACAGCTCTCCAGTACTGTCCCATTGAAGTACTGTGACTAAACATGCATTTGATAAGATCCTAGAAATAATTATGTTAAAGAAATACTTTGATAATTAACCAAGGCAATGAAAATTACTTGTGCGATAGCCATGGTGTATTCAAATCAGCTACATATACATGAGAACCATAACTTCTTATTGAGTTATCTTCAATTTCAGTTTGTGTGGTAAATGCAATAACATTATTACTGCTGATTGTTGTAATTAATGCTTCATTCAAACTGCAAAAAGAAATATTTAGTAAATTAATGCATATGAAATTTTCAGGTTATACGATAATTTACTTACTCAGGACAACCCTTACTAGGTTTTCTCTTTATGCAGAACAAATAATCCATAATCTTAAAATGTTACTTTTACTTGAACCAGCTTGAACTATTCCAGTAAAGCTTTGAAAATTAAATTGAATTAGTTTTTGTTTACTTATTTATATCTTCGTTATTAAATCGGCAAATATTCGCTATGCAAAACTATTTACAAACATGTCCTACTAATATTTATGTTTTTTATCGTTGTCCTTGAAATTCATGTATTTATGTATTAATGTAATAATATGTGCTTCATCCACAGTTGGCTTAATACTTGATGCAGTTATTAACTAAATGTTCAGTTGACAGATATAGCAGTCTTATGAAATTGACCAATTTCTTTGGATTCTGAACAATATGAAAATACTAATAATTGTAATTTAAGTGTAATAATATAATTATTAATTTTGATTAAGAAATTTTAATAAAAATATACCTTCTCTTGTATATTTGGTTGCAGCTAAATTTAAATGTTATTAATTTTATATTAAAAATTTCTTACTCTTGCTAACAATAACTATAGTATAAATATCAGAAAATATTGTTATGTAATTATTTCATTTTACAATACAATATAGGTAATATTAAGAAATGTATTTTGTAGTAAATCCAGAGGGCGCATTTAAGAGTTTACATATTTCTACAATTGAAATTTGTGTTAAAATACTGCTGGACCAAGGGACCAAAGACGCTGTGTGGTGGCGTGCCCCGCGTGCCCTCCCAAATCTAGAAATCGAGTGGCGCCCCCTAAAGAGTTGCCTATAAAACCTTACACCAAAACAAAACAACATAACCTCATATAATCAGTATTTTTGCTTATTATTAAATGTTTAACCAATACTTACATTTAATAAATTAATAACAATTAATAACTGTATCTTATATAAATATAGTGATATAGAATGAAAGGATTAATTATTCAACACTTCTCAATGAACGCATTTGTTAATTACAGGTTTTATAAAGATTTATATGTTAATAATAGTAAAACTTGTTTAAAATTTTATAAGAAATTTTCAAATTTTAAATTATTTGGCGCTTGTACTTGTGACATTTTACATTGGTTTATTGGTCTGATGAACAGGTTTTGGCTTTATTTTTTTTGTCCATTAAGCACAAATGTGAGCTGAATATAAAGTGAAAAGTGTTCATGTTAGACATGGCTGATTTTTATTATAATGCCTGGGTCCAAGTAATTCATCCACCTGATTGCATTCTCCAAGAGACGGATGTTGAAGTGTTCAAACTAATGAGTAAACAATATGTGGAACAATTACTACAAGATGAGGACACAAAAAAATTTGGAGAATATTTTCAAACTTACTATATGAAAAAGGCTGAGTTTTGGGCATGTTGTTATTGACTCAATAGGATTAAATACTAATATGCATATTGAATCGATGCATAAAAAATTAAATATTTATATTTAAAAGCAAAATAACAAGAAGGCTAGACGTTTGTATACAGGCCATATTAAAATTTGTAAAATATGCTCTGGTAATTATGTTACAATTAGAATCCATCATGATTAATTATTTTATCTTTTATTTCAGATGATAAATGTGATGAAATCTGACATAACGTCTACTTTAGTTGATTGTGTCAGCAAGAAGTCAGGAAGTCAAATCATGCTTGCAGTATAGTAATCATTTATTATTCAAAAGATTACGGGTAGTCATGCAAAATGTAAATTCTGCAGAAGAGAGGGATAGGCTTAGTAAATGGATAGATTTAATTGAAGATTTTAATCTTCAACAAAAAAAATCTTTACCATCAACGTCCTCTTCACCATCAACCTCATCTGCACTATCAGCCTTCTCTGCTTCTCTGTACCATCAACTTCCTCTGCACCATCAGCACACAATAAAAGAATTATTCCCCATTAATTCATCACGAAAACATGAAAAATAAGCAGAAAACAAAGAAAATGTAGATATTTTATCTTTCCAAATCAATTTAGTTTAGAAGAAGACTGAAAACAAAGAATTATTATTTATTTACTTTTTATATAGTTTATTTCTTTAAATATGTTTGTTTTATATAGTTTTTTTTTTCTTCCTCCTGCTTCTTCCCTCTAGGAAGAGCCTCTTACATTTAGCAGAGTTCAGAGGACCTTCAGTTGCTGGTTAATTAATTGCTTGCTAAGTGCAAGTTGCATCTAGCGTGCATGCCTAGCCTTCCATGCCAACGTTAAAAACAACAATATAAATATATATATAATTAAATTAAAAAGATAATTTAAATTTAAAATATTTTTATTCATAACTTTAAAGATGTGCTCTCCCTCCTCGTAGATGGTTCACAATTACTCGTGTATGATCTCCAATCTAAAACGAAAATATTAATTAATAGTAATTTAAATGTATTGAGTAATTAATTAGTTACCTCTCCAGTGTGGTCCACATACTCCCTCATAGATGGTTCAAAGTTACTCGTGTATGATCCATCCAATCTAAAGCGAAAACATTAATTAATAGTAATTTAAATGTATTGAGTAATTGATTAGTTACCTCTCCAGTGGGGTCCACATACTTCTGAAACCATCTAATGTTGTTACAAAATTTTTCAAGACTGGTGGCTGATTATTTCGTTCTTTAATAAAGTTGTAAATGACCTGATCCCATTTCAACACACTTTACATCAACCTGGTTAACTACTATCAAATAGTTTATTTCAATAATTGCAGTACTGCTGTACCCTTTGATTCTGATGTAAATTTTCTTTCCCATTTGGGCAAGATAGGTTACATTCTATCATTAGTTCTGTAATTGCACCTACTGTACACTTGCACAGCATTCAAGACCTTCATCTTAGGAATTTGTCCGAGAATTACATGTCTAACTGTAACTTTTTTCATTGATCTTCTACTTCTTGAAGGATCAATGAAATAAGCAGTTTTAACATCCTCTCAACTTGCTATGAAGTCCTAACCATTCAATGAATATTTTTAGATAATAAATTGTTCCTCATACATTTAATAATATGACAAACATTGTCTAGAGGAACAATCTGATTTATCATCACTTACTCTTCCTATTGTATCCCTGTTGAAGTTATCTGAAGTAATACAACTGTTATATAGTTCCATCAGTGTCAACAACAATCTCTTCATATACAACATCTACTGGTCCACAATAAGAGTCATCTAAATTAATAAGATTGTTATCAATAGCTGTATCACTGTCAACAATAATCTCTTCAGATACAACCACTACTGGTTTACAATAAGAGTGATCTAAATTAATGAGATTGATATTGACTGCTCTATCACTATCAACAGTTCTTATTTCTTCAGACTCAACTTCATATGGTTTACAATAGGAGTGATCCAAATTATGAAAATTATCACCAATAATGCTGTTACTATCATCAACAATATCAATTTGTTCAACCTCTACTACTTCAAACATATATTCCGTCAACATCGGAAAATCGTAAAGATAAAAAATAGGTTTTCTTTTGTACTTTTCAGCGAAATGAAGATTGCAAACCATCCTTGATTTCCTTATAACATGATTATCTACATTTTTCAACGAATCATTCCTCGTAGCAACTTTCCATTGTTCGAACAATGGAGAATCAACCGGAATACCATCTCCGCCTTTAATATTACATCCTTGGACGCAACAATAAGAAACCATCCTAATATACAACATACATTAATTGAATTGTACTTAGACACACGCGTATATAAAGAATATTTGTGGAAATGTTACTTACTTGCTTGTGTTTACTGGCGTTCTCCACAATGGCGAAATAGAAATGGTCGAAATGAGACAATAGAAAAGTTTTGAAAGTTTTATTACCGCAAAGTAAACATTTGAAACGGTTACTAAGGTTCCGAAGTCAACCGATTTCGTACGAAAAAAAAGATTACAATTTTGCCGTATCCCGTGAACCCACCCTGGTCAAGGTTGGTCTTGGTCGTCTTGATCCCCTGTTGCCCCTGTTCTAATCCATTGTCGATCGCTGATCAATCTCAATAAAAATCATGGTTTTACTGAGACTGTTCTCGTCCTCAAAGGTTCTGCTGAGACTTTATTATTCTTTAAAGGTTTTACTGAGACTAATTCTAAATATTTATTCTACTTACAAAGTTAAATTTCATAAATACGGACTAGACTAGCTGGACTAGAAAAAAGACTGTTACGAAAAAAATCAGTTTTAAAGCTACAAGATTTTGTTTGTGTGTCTTTGTTACGTTTTCTGTTATTAATAATATTTAATATGGATTTTTCAAGAGATGAATTTTTTTTTAATTGGTTAGTGAATTAACGAAGACATTTCCAGGCGAATGCATTCCGGTCGAATTAAGACGTTACAAAGATACAGTAAATAACATCGTACTGAACGAATTGTTGCACAAACAAATAACTATGACAGTCGAACATGACATGGACAAAATCTGTGTCCCGTAGATATAGATAAAACCTTGCAGTATCACACGTTAATGAATAATTAAACCGATATGAAGATCTCGGATAAGAGCGATATTGTGGATTTTTAACTATTGAGCCTTCGAATATTCCATTAACTCCGCCATTTAAAATTTCCGACTCGATTATTTTATCTTGCAAAGTATCGAAAGATGTTCAATACGAGATTAAAATGGAACAAGTGGGCAATTCAAATTATTTTTCTCCTGAATTTTATTACTAAAATTTTGAATTATTTTTTTTTAAAATTATATTTACAAATGCAAATATGCAATTACATTAAATAAAAAAAAATGAATTTGTGTTTCTACAATATATATAAAAAACGGATTGCGGCTCTCTTTGGCCTCGTTTGTGCCCACCCCTGTTATGTAATGTCCACACTAGAGGATTTTGCAACAATACAGGAATAAATAACGCAATATATGTGATTTGCTAAAAAATAAAATACGTAGTTTTTTATTTATATTATGCATTCTGAAACTAATCAGTTTTTATCTTTTGACCTTTACATTCAACGGGTCACGATGAAATAATATTAATTCAAAAATTGATATTACCCCATTCATTAAGTTCTTAACACTCGCAGAGTCTCAATCTAATAATGCGTACTTTAATTTTCACGTTATGCTGCATTCTCATCGTGCAAATCAAGGTAAGTCATTAATTGTATATATATTTATGTATTTCAATGAAATGTTCATAATTATTAATATATCAAATAAGATGTTTATAAATTTCTATATAAATATTTCTAATTCTTCAATTGCATTTAGAACAAATATAATATATTAAAGGTCAGAATTTTTTATTTTCTAGAATGTGAAATAATATCAATTTAGGTGGAAAGACTGCGTTGAATATTGAGTTTAAATATGTGTATTTTTTTTATTATTAATTTGCACAAGTAATTTTTAATTTGCGAATTTTAAGAAATTACATTATGATATTAATGATATGGTTTCATAACATTTGAATTAATGAAATAAAAGTCAAAACAAAACTTTTATTAAACAAAAACTTAACATATGTTTTACAAAGTTATAAATATTCATTGATGTTATTTAAAACATTACATTCTTATTCTTTTTTGCTTTTTGTAACTTTTGCTTGCTTTTTTATACATTTTCCACTTGTGAAGCAATTGATCAATTTACAAATTAAAAAAATAGGAATAATTGTAAATGCAAGTATAATAGCAGCAACATCTAAAAAGAAGTATTTGTAAAATGGTATAAAGTAGGCAGTATTTTTCAAATGCTTCGCTCCATTGTTCCTTAGAAGATATTCCACCCAATAAACAGCTTCATCGAGAGGTTGCATAGGTCTATCCTTCATCAAAGCCGACCTTTTTTTCACAGCTTCTTTAATTCTGCAAAAAGAAAAAGAAATCATCATAAAAATGACACACATGTAATAGATATGCTTCTTATCAGCTATAAAATTTACTTCGTTCCTCCGATAATAGTATTGAACGCTTCGGTCAAAGTCCGTTCGTTTAAATCCTCGAAAGCAATTTGCAAGGCGATTCCGTTCTTCACGTTCCTCTCCATATTAGATCTTTGATCCCCCATGAACGGTACTCCTATTAACGGAACTCCGAAGTAAATGGCCTCGATGGTGCTCAAAAGACCTCCGTGTGTTAAGAACAATTCAACATTTGGATGATCTGTAGTGGAATCAATGCTGTTTATCGATTAGAACATTGAAATGCTTATATCTTACTCAAAATTTCTTGCTGAGGCATCCACTTTCCAATCATAACGTTGTTGGGTTTGCCTGGTAAATTCTCCTCTTCGAATTTCCAAAGTACGCGTTGCTTCAATTTGGATAAGGCTTTCATAATACCGGCTAGTTTTTCAGGTGGTAAATCCTTGCTTTGAATGTTCGATCCAAAACTGAAAAATACTGCTCCGTGTTTAGCTTCGTCCAAGAATTTTTGGATATCGTCCGGTAGCTTTTTCGAGGCTTTAACGTGTATTCCTCCCACTTGGATCATCTGAGGCATGTGCGGAACGGCCTGATTGATACACGAATGCGAATTCATGAAGACCAAATCTACGTTGTTAATTAGCTGATGGATGTCGGGCGTTTCAGGGAAATGTTTCTTGATAATCGCTTCTTGCTTCGGCAGGACATATAATTGCTTTGCTGCGTATGTGAAGATTTGGAAGAATGCATTGTACGTCCTTTCAAATAAATCCATGTCTTCTGAATAGTTTAAGAATAAATCCGGTATATAAGAAGGCGGTGATGGATTGGAAACTATGTAGTTGCTTATTTGACTAGCGCCAATTGTTGTAAATGCGATGCAATGGGCTTTGAAATGATGACAATAGACTTTAAGGTCATCATTGAAGAACTGCTCCACGATGACCACGTCGAATTGTTCTTTCATCAACGACCGGATTTTACTATGTTTTATAATAATTTCGCTGATATAAAGATTCATCGTGTTTATCCAGGTGAACATAACGAAAGGAGACATCTTCTGCAATTCGTTTGTGCCGACTTTTGCGTCTTTTCCCACCGCTTCTTTGCGCATTTCTGTAAATACAAATTGAAATTTCCATCTGAAAGATAGTTGCATTCACATATTACCGGTTAGTTGTTCTATTATTCCGTCTAATACGATGTTCCTGTAGTTGGGAATTGCTGTGTTGTTGAAGGTACTTACCATCGTGACTTCGTGTCCTTTCTCGGCCAAACCTGCAAGCAGGGAATGACCCAGAATGTAGTGGCTGTACGATGGTACCGGGAAAAATCCAAGTATTTTAGCTCCATTGCAGAGGCTTAATGATAAGAGCAGAAAGAAGGTCGATAATTCCATATTCGCAAATCGTTGGCACACGTATCTCCGACGACGTGCGTATATCTCTGTCGTTGACTAAATTTACATCAATTGCATCGACTTGGATCGACTCCAACTGAGATGCACCGTTGCATGTACTGATGCTCCAAACGTAGGCAGCCCATTGAAACATGTTTCGAGTAGAGGAGGCAAGGTCACAAAAACCCAAGTTCCCTGGAAGCAACGATTACGTTGTAATTCATATTACGAAATTACGTTTCTAATTTATAGGAAAACGCCTTAATATTTTTTAATTTTACGCCTTATTTTGTCTATAATTGTAATTATTTTGTTGCAATAACTATTGATATTATTATATTATAATTAATCAATTAATAATAATTATATTATAATTAATCAATATATTATTATTAATCAATTAAGATAATTTTTAACAAAATATTTCTCAGCATTTTCAATTTGATTTGCATTCGATTTTTTAAATAAAATAAAGTAATAAGATTATTAGGGCGGAAAGACTGCGGCCAATACCCCTTTGTATTATACAATATATGTTATTATACAATACATTTTGTTTATTATAAGATTATTATAACTGAAACTATACTATTATTTCTGAAAATAATATTTATTGCAGTTTACAAACAAAATATATTAATGCCAATATATAGGAAAAAAGTTTCTTCTACTTGCTTGAAGGTTACGCTGTATTTAGTATTTTTACTGAAAACTGCGTCAATTTAATTGATGTCAGAAAAACAGAAATAATCATGTTATGATTGTATAAACCAGTAATTAAATAATAATTTCATTCCGACAACCTACCAATTATATTACTATTACATCATAAATATCATTTTTTTTTATGAATTTTATAAATAAGTCAAATAAGTATTCTAAAATGAATAATAATATACATTATGTTTTTCTAGAGTTAGTCTTACGCAGTGCGGACTTGCATTATCGTGTCAATTAAAGATTGATTTATTCGATCTATTTGTTAACGAAGGTTGGTTAAGAGTGTTTGACAGTTCATCGATTGTCTGACATGAATTTGATTCCACGTCCGCCCTTAACATGTTATTGTTTAATGTTATTGGTCTTCCTGATAGATACGAGACGGAAAGATCAAAATTATTGTATCTGAAGTAATTCTTGAACAGAAGTGGAAACAATATGGAATTTTAATATAAAATATATAGTTTAAAAAATAATTTTTTCTTTTTTTTTTGCAGGCGTTTCACCTAACCACAGAGGAAATGCGAAAAATCGGCAATGAATGCGCGGAGTCAACGAAAGTCGATAGGAAATTAGTAGAGAACGCCGTGAAATATATGATAATAGTGGACGATCAAAAGTACAAGGAGTTCCTGTTTTGCAGCTACAAAAAGCAAGGATACCAGAAGAAAAATGGAGATATAGTCTATGACGAAATCAAAAGTTTCCTATCTTCTTTCTACAGCAAAGAGGAAACCGATTACGCCGTAGATAACTGTAAAGGACTGACATACATCCGTCCCGAAGAGATGTCTTTCAACACCATGAAATGCATATTGAAAAACTTGTTGGAGGTTGAACGTATGAAGGCGCAGAAAAAATACGTAAACAACTGAACGCTGGTGATTAATTAAGATTGTGATTATTTAAGATTAAAAACAATATGGATACAGAAGTATATTTATTGTATATAAATAGATATTGTGTATCTTATATATAAAATTTTATTTAGGTTATCAAAGCATACAAATGTAATAATAAAATAAAATTAGTGATAATAGTGAATAATGCATTCGATTTGTGGAGATACGTGTATTCGAATTTAAAAAATAATAAGGTTGCATGTGAACGAGTTTTGCAGGAAGTTCTAATTGAATTGTGTTGGTCCCCATGGTAAATGCATATCTGGGAGTAATAAATACAAGTTTACGAGATGGGTGGTTCTCAATCGTCTAAAATTTTGAAAAAATACTCGAGTTCGAGTGCAGTATCCTCCTTCAAGTCGGTGCAATGGACGGCGTTCCTGTATTTATCCACGCCGAACATTCCACGTATAGTTTTGGGTCTAATGTGGCGCGCGATGTCAGAATCCGCAGGACCGCAAAACACCCGGAATGCCTGGTGCACATCGATGGAGTCGTCTTTCCCTGAAATCTCCATGGCAACGCACGGTCCGTCTAGAAAGCTGTGCAGAAGTGCATGGAAATCGGCCACGACGCCCTTGTAGACCTCCAGAAATTCCGCGGCGTTAGCACTGTCCAAGTAAAACATCTGAAGAGCCGTGATGTTGAAATCGCCCTGCTTGATGTAACCTATAATCTTGCCCAGCTTTCTCTCATCGATGGCGTGTGGCTTAATGATGCAGCAGGTGCTGTTGTTTATGCGAGCCGTCGAAGGTGGAGGTTTCTTGCCCACGCCTTGAGGGAAGAAGAAACAGGCACTCCTTATTGCTGCTTCATTACTTCTTGCCCCATGCACCGCGTTACTCTGCAAATCGATTCCGAAGCGGGCTCTGAATGTTGTCGGCTCTGTCTTCCTTGCCTCCACTGGGTCCTTGGGCCCCATCAGGATACCCCAGCGATCCAAAGCATTCTCCCCAACCAACTCCATCGCGACAATAGGAGCAGAGCTCACGTGTTCAATCACGAAGGGCAGAAACGCATCCCCTTTATTCTCCTCGTACAGATCCAGTGTTTCCTTTCTGCTTAAATGTGCCATCCTCATGCGCTCGATGGTAAAATTATGATTGTAAATATCATCGATAATATCTCCGAAGTTACTCATACCGGACGGTTTTATCATGGCAAAAGTATGCTCCTTCCAGCGTCCGACAAAGTTCTTGCTTCTGCAGTCCGCGTAATCCGTCAGCTTGATCTGTCTACCATAAATGGTGATGGTATTACCAACGAAGACGTCCTTCAACCTCAAACCATCGTACGCCGCCCTCCGCAGAAACATACGATTCATATCCAAATCCTTGAGTTCGACTGTACTGTCGCAGGGGTAAAAGTTCAGCAGAAACTTTTTCTTCTGCTCAGCCCTAGGATCGAACCATTCCGCGTGGAACGATAACCGAAATGTGTAATCATACTCTTGTGTTGCCATTCTCTAATAATCTGCAATTAAAAAGAACACAACAAAAATCAATATAAAAAATAACAGTTTAGACAGATGTCATTAATTTTGTTATAATTAATTATTGATATCTGGACTATAAATTTATATACACAATTACGAAATTATCTAAGTGCAGCGATTGGATGCAACCAATTTCACATATCCTGGTGAAGCAATAAGATAATCCGTTAAACGTAATGCATCACAATCTTCTTGCAGCTCCACCGATAATGAATTAATCGAGTTGCGTTTCGGCCAATTCGGTATAAGCTTTTGACGTTTCCATCGATCTCGCAAATATTGTTTTTATCATGTCACGGTTGAATTGTAAAAATGAAAGAGATTATTGCCGCTGTCGGTGTACGCAATGCAAACAAACAACACGTCTTTTTAATTTCGAACAAAATCAACGCTCACTTCAGTAGATTAGATTAATTCAATTAATTATGCCGTGTTAATCAACAGATGCGCACTCTCTTCAGCATTAAATACCAATTTGCAGTGTCAGTTTATTGATATTTACTAAAAGGTGTTTTGTTTTTCTATTTAGCAAACACGCACAACTAAAAAATAAAGTTGGGTAATCATTAAATGGACGCGAAAATATAGCATATATTTTGCATACTTGAAAATAAATTAATTTCATAAATATTGTACTGATCCTTTTTAAATTATTATAATTTAAATAATTAGAATAAAAATAGTAAGATTTGTACATATTTTAGATACAACAATTTTTCAATATTATTTGATTTGTTTACATTTTGTTTAATTTCTCAAAAACCATGTACAATAATTAGATCATAAAATATCTAAATTACAGAGGTTTTTTCAGCGGGGCCACTGAGAAATAAGTTTTTTTAATTAATATTCTACTTTTAAGCAAGTAGAATATTAGTCTAATAAGAGTTATACATTTTATAGAATAAGTCTAAAAGTTTTGAAATAAACATTATTTTTATTTAAAAATGTACACAACTGAAACTAATTTCCTTATAGTGCATAAATAAATAGCAATTTTTGCAACAAAGTCATTTTGCTTCATAGAAAAAATCGATATAATGAATTCATCATATTAACGTTTCTAATGTATTAAATATTCAAATAATTTTAATTTTATATCGTGGATGACAAGGGAATTATATGTTGACATCCGCCTGCAAGAGCTTAAATATACATAAATACAATTTAATAAAAACTGAAGTTCAGGAGTATTTAAATATTATGGAATACTTGTAATATAAAAATAGCCTCAAAGAGAATAAATATGTACTAAACAATAAATAAGTAGTAACTTGTAAAGTGCTTGAAATTTGTTTACGCTCTAGTTTACGCTCTATTACAAGAATTTAAATTAAATTAAAAAAAAGTAGTTAGTTTGGAAGTAATATTATGGGAAGTCAAAATCTGAAAAATTCTCCAAAAATTTTCCCAAGAGGAACTCCATGCAAATGAACTACAAAAATGTCAATGGCAAGATATCGATTTAAGTTCCCACTTGGAAACAGTATGAAATAGAGTGTTTTCGAAACTATGTTCAGTTAATAGGTGTTCCGTGAAAAACCGGGAATGAAATAATTACTAAATAAGTATAATTTTTCTCATTTTTGAATTTTTTATTGATTATGTGTTATTATTATCTACCCTACAAAATAAGCAAGATGTTCTGTCAAAATTTCAGGGTTTATGCAGGAAAGCTTTGGGAAACCCTGAAATAGACGGTTAAGGTAGTAAGACATGACGAGATATAAGTAATATAGTCATATTTCCATAAGAAAGTGTAATAAAAATCTGTAATAAAGTATATAAATTGTAGGGAGGAATTGTAGGGAATATATGACTGTTTCAATAAATATTATTATAAGCTATATGTCTATATTATTAAAATTGTTAATTTTATTCAGACACATAATAATGCTATCTTAGTTTTTTTTTGCAATTTCTATTTGGAAAAAGTGGTAGAAATTCACTACGACGCTTGTCAAAATTTCATGGCAATATGACATTTAGTTCATAAGTTACAGTGGTTTTAGTGACGCTACTTTTGTAATTTTAAAACAATGGAATAATCTAAATTTCGTGTTTTGATAAAACATAGATTTTTTATGAAAAATAAAATACCGTTCAAGCAAAGCAATGGCTTAATAAGTGTTATGAGGACTTTTCTCCGTCGAGACAAATGTTAGAGAAGTGGTTTGCTGATTTTAAACGCGGTCGTGGAGACACAAATGATGCTGCTCTTTGGTCACCCAAATTCGGTAGTTGTTGCAGAAAACATAAAAAAAGTCCACACAATGGTTTTGGTCGATCGTAAATTGAAATTGCGTGAGATAGCTTTGACACCTTGAAGATATCAGAAGGCAGTGTATTCACCATTTTGCATGAACATTTGATCATGAGAAAGCTCTATTCGAAATGGACCAAAAACAACGAGTTGATGAATATAAGCGCTGTATGGAGCTGTTCAAGCGAAATAATAATTTTTCATGCGGTATGAAACAATTACGAAAAAACGACCACAAATGAAGAAGAAAAAAGTACTCTTTCACCAACATAATACCCCGTGTAACAAGTCGATCAAAACGATGGCAAAAATGCACGAATTGTTTTCCCATTCACCGTATTCTCCAGATCTGGCTCCCAGCGACTACTACTTGTTTGCAGACCTAAAAATAAAGCTGAAGCGTATTTAGAGGCCAAAGATAAATCGTTCTACAAGAAAGGTATCGAAATGGTAGGAAGCGTTAGAATGGTCACTCTTGAAGGAGAATATGCTGATGAATAAAGTCGAATACAGGTATCCCCCGACTTACGAACACAATTCTAAAAGCTATAACTTGTTACAAGGAGATATATAGTTATAAAAAATGAACTGTCCAAACAAAAATTGATAATTTCTTTAATAAAATATAATATTGTTGCCATTTTTTATTAAACAATTGTGATATCTACACTGTAAAGTATTTGTAAGTAATTATTTTGTTTATTTTAATATAGTAATCAGTCAGTCAGTCAGTAGTCAGTAATACGGAATTTAACATATGTAAAAGTAAAAACCATTATAAAGTGTAGTAAGATAAGTATATTTTGAAATTTTACGAACAACCCTTTGGAACGGAACTAGTTCGTAAGTACGTATAGCCCAAAAGTTGTTGTTTCATTACTCATCCTAGGAACTTATTTAGTAAGGAGTTATAAGATACGGAGAATTGAGTGTAATTGAATAACTTGAAAATTATAGTAAAAATAATCTATATGAAATAATACTTTGTTTTCTTTTTCTTTATATGTATTATATTGACAAAAATATTACAATTTATATAATGATTAGAGAACCTTAAGTATAATTAGCTAATGATGAGAAATATACTGAAAGAAAAGAACAAATAGATGTTGAGTGTTATGCGTAATTAGGTGCGCAACGAAGACTTTGAGCACATTCAATAAACGATCGTTCTGTCACAGGAAATAAAAGAAAATTCGAGAAGAAAAAAATGGAACGGCAAAAGTAAATACATAATAAACATTGGAGAGAATTACATCACGTAATTCGGATTGCAAGCAAAAGACTGAAAGCAAATGAGCAAATAGAATAGGGGAATTTATTAAATTATAATTTCTCAAATGGCAAACAAGACAATTCCGAAAGTTTATTAATGTATATTATACTTGTCCCCCATATCAAATAATAGAGAACAAAATTAAAGAAATGAAAAAAAAAAGATGATAAAATAATGAAAAGCGAATCGTTGAATGATTCTCAGACAGAAGATTAATTGCATTTAAATTAAGTCTACTATTCCACCGACAGTTAGTTTATATTTCATTTGCATGCAGAATGTATCCATTTTCATTTATTGTATAATAAAACTGTGAAAATTACATGGATTTCTTTTTATTGTACTAATTATTTGCGTTGCTTCAATTCAACCAGGTGGAAAATAACGCAATGAATATTAAAAATGATTAAAAGAAAACATGTTCGTGAAAATAAACCGGTGACTATTAAAAATTTTGCGGCTCACTTTTATAATGCAAAGAAAACATGTTTCTTCTATAAACACCACATGACATATTCAAATAGTTGTTGGTTTAAAAAAATGAGGAGAAAATCATTTTTCAATCGTGAAAATTAAAATATACACCTGATTCTTTCTACATTTAAGAGCCATTGTTCTGAAACATGATGCAAGATAATGTAACTATTCATTGTTTTTCAGGAAATTTGTTTTATTTTAACACTTTAATATGAAAAAAAAGGACAGAAAGGCTGAGATCGATAGTCCAAATAAAAATGTTTTAAAAGTTGATTTTAATAAATTATTATAAAGAAATATTAATTGCATTTACAACGCAAATTATTCGAGAAAAAACAAAATAATTTATCTAATATTATCTTATATTTCAAAAAAGTTATAAACCAAAATTATTTATTTTACAAATCAACAATAAAAGTTAAAGAAATGGACACATTTAGTATGTAAGTAAATGAAAAAAACTTAAATTGTGTAAACTTTGTTCTAAGGAAAATAAGTCATCAAATGTGATTGGATGAAATAATTCAAAATCAAATTTAAAATTGAAATAATTCAGAAATTTTAATTGAAAATAAAAGTGCGTATATTTCTTAAAGCAATAAATTTAATGTAAAAACAGATCGAAATTTAGAACTTTAATAAAAAAAGTACCTTGTTTTATAATTGTAAACAAATAAAGATGTAATATTTTTATTGTAAAATAACCAGTAAATTTTCGTAATAAGTACTAGTAATTTTTTAAAATTATTAAATGATATTCCTTTTAATTCTTTAAGATGGCATGGAAGTACTGAATGAACCTTTTCATCTGAAGAGGTAATATGTACGACCTTTTTTATTATTGATAATTATCTTTTTGGAATAAATTTTTCTTTTCTTATTAAAAAAATAATATATATCTTTATTATTTGTTTGTTAGTCAAATTTTTGTTAAAACTTAATGGATTTTTGTTAATTAATCC